GGGGGACCCCGCGCGCGCCGGTGGCTCTGGAGGACGGCAAAGCGCCCCGACGTTTTGAAGTTGAATATGTTGGGGTAACGCTGGCCGGTACCGTTGTGCGAATTCCAGGGGCGCAGCTTTAGGGCCAGACGGTGCGCCCCTCCCCGCGCCTGGGCTCCTCCGGCACCGCGGCCGAGCCCCTCCCCCGGCGCCCGCCGCTCTGCTCTTTGCGCCCCGAGTTTGCTGCTTTCCGTCCATCGCCCCCGTGGGAGTGAAGCCATCCGAGTGCTGGGATCTTTGGAAGCGCTTTGACTTCCAGCCCCTCCGCGGTGGGACCAGCTGCTTTCCTCTCCCCCTGAGAATCCCTGTCACACTGGCAGGTTTGGTGTTTTTAAGGGGAGGGGCCGTGAAGTGGGGGCAGCTGGGGGCAGGGCCCCTGGAGGCGACTCCCTCCCCGTCCCTCCGGGGTGGCCTGGAGCCCTGGAGCCCTGGCAGTAGGTGGCAGTCAGTGTTGAGGCCAGAGAGAGGCCCGCAGGGGAGGGTGGGAGTCGCCAGGGCCCCCTGGGCCATGCTGGGGAGTGGACCGTGCCCAGGGCCAGGCCACAGGCTCCCAGTGTCTCCTGTCTCCTCGCCCTGTTGCGCCCTTTCTTTCCTGTGTTTCTGCCCAAGGTGCTTGGACTCTGAACTCACAAAATGTACTTTTCCTCACGGCCTCCTGGTCAGGGCTGGTAAAGGGTGAAGGGAGAGGCAAAGCCTGAGCCTTGTTCTCGTGGGTACGCGTCCCAGAGTTCGCTGAGCTGTCCTAGGGAGGGAGCCCGACAGGTGCCACCGCCAAGAAGTCAAAATAGCTGAGTGACACCCGAGAAGGCCAGTGAGTGACCGAGCAGAGGGAGGCCAACTGGTCTCTTCCACCATGGGGGAGGGTCCACGGCCTCAGCAGAAACAGAAGCAAGTGTCACTGGGCCGCATGTCACCTGGGTGTGTCCTGGAGGCCAGGCCAGGGTGTGTCAGTGGTTTCCCACTCTTGCCCCCCCAGCCTCTCTAGACATTTTTTCCTCTAACTGATCCCCATGGAATTCCCACGGCGGACGCGCTGCCCGGCCGTGCAGGCCGGTGTGGCTGCGGAGAACGGCCCACGCCAGCTGTCTGACTGCTCTCCAGCTCGCTGCTCGCTCCCTCCGCTGTCCCCTTGCTCAGAGCCCTTTGGCGTCTCCTGCATTCTGGCCTCTCTGCAGCCTGTGTGTGGAATTCAGCGGTGGGGCGGGTCTGGAACCCCGCCCAGGCTGCCCTGAGAACTCTTGCGAAATTCTAATCAAGTTGGGTTGAAATGCTTGAATCTGTGCGGTGCCCCTCCCCTAACGGGAGTTTCATTTCCATGTTGGAAGGATGGGGAGCCCCTCCAAAAAGGAGGGTGTGGTGCACCTGCTGTGTCTTCGCCTGGCACTGGGCAGTGCCCTGCTGGATGCACTTAGGGGCACTCTGCCTGGTCCGTGTTTGTGGGACGCCGGGACCACTCGTGGAGACTCCTGTGTGAGAAATAGGTTTATTTGTGGGGTTTGGTAAGGGCCAAGGAGTTAAGTAGAATGTGGCAGGAGAGTGCACTGCGTCCCCAGCGTCCAGCTCTGTCCTTGTCAGCTCTGTCCATGATCCTCCATTTATCATCGGACTCTGTCTTCCTGGGTCAGTCGGAGGCCAGCCACGCCGCATCCATTGAGGCCTTATGAGATGCCTGACCCTGTGCCAGGTTATTAGCTTAGGCCCTTGGGGACATCCCTTAAAGTGTCGGAAATTTTGGGGGTGGCGTGTGCACTAGCCGACAGCTTTCAGCTTGAGGGAGGGATTCCTGCCCCGGAAATAACAGGATGGCTTCTCTAGTGTGAACCCAGAGGGTTATGCAGCCTGTGCCCCCAGGAGCTTGTGGGGCACGGAGGCAGGTGGAGCCGTGGGAGCTCCGAGGAAGCCTAGGAATTTAAAGGTTAAGGTCAGCGGACGGCAGCAGTTAAATATCCATCTCAGACGGCAGGTAAAGAAAAATTAAATTTATTTAAGGAAAAGGGCTGGGGGATGGGGAAATCCAAAGGGACGGGCTACACAGCAGGGAGACAAGGGGCACTGGGTCCATGACGGCCGGAAAAACCTACTTGGGACAGTGAGACAGGAAGGTGCATGGAAGAGGCAACAGGAGAGCCCAGGCTGGGCTGCTCTGGCTTCCTGAGAAGTCAGAGAGAAGGGGCCTTGGGGACAAGTTCAGGGGGTAAGCCCGGGATCAGCTGCCACTGCCCATTGCTCCCCTGGTTGCAAGTCTCGTGGGGTCCCCTCTCAGGGAACAAGGGGGAAGATCGCGCTGGTATGCTGCCCTAGTGGGGAGTGCGGGCTAGATCCTTTGTCCTGAGCTTCTTTAACTGTTTCTTGCAGTTGGAAATCTTGGGGGAGGTCTCAGGGGAGGGTCTCAATA